ATCCGCCCTGCTCTGTGCATGACAGGGGGCGGCGCCCCAACTCCCCAATCAGCCCTGCTCTGAGCCTGACCAGGGGCTGCACCTAGGGATTGGGCCTGCCCTCTGCCACCCAGGAGCAGGCCTAAGCCAGCAGGTCGTTATCTCCTGAGGGGTCCCAGACTGCGAGAGGGCACAGGCCGGGCTGAGGTACCCCCCTCCCCCTCCCCCGCAGTGCACAAATTTTTGTGCACCGGGCCTCTAGTAATAATAATAAAAGGCTAATATGCACATTGGCTGAATGGCAGAATGACTGGTTGCTATGATGCGCACTGGCCACCAGGGGGCAGACGCTCAATGCAGGAGCTGCCCCCTGGTGGTCAGTGCACTTCCATATGGAGAGTGCCACTCAGCTAGAAGCTGCCTCATGGCTGGCCAGTGCAGTGGTGGTGGCAGGAGCCTCTCCCACTTCCATCGCAACACTAAGAATGTCCAACTAACAGTTTAGACTTGATCCCTTGGGGGCCTAAGCCTTTAGTCAGACATCTCCAGAGGGCTCCCTGGCTGCCAGAAGGATGTCTGACTGCAAGCTTAAGCCTGATCCCCAGGGGAGTGGGCCTAAGTTGACAGGTGGACATCCCCCAAGGGATCCTGGACTGCAAATGGGGGCAGGTTGGGGTGAGGGACCCCCCCCCCGCCCCGAATGCACAAATTTTTGTGCACTGGGCCTCTAGTAATAATAATAATAACTCATACAGAGTATCACTAGTAGAGTTATACTTTCTTAGTGTCATTTGGTTAGGCATATGTACTTCTTAGGACACTTAAAAGTTGATAACAGAACAGCATACATAGCATACCAAATGAGCAATGTTTTCAAAATAACTGTGTCTTAAGTTAAACACCATATCATTTATATAGCTCTTTCCCTATTTCTTTTTAGTAATTCTCTTGCTCATCTCTTTCATGTGTCTGTAACGTTGACATATTCAGGATTTATTAAACATAGACCAGGACCATGGAAGACAACAGACAACCACATCTGAGATCCTGTTTCTTCCACAAGGAAGTACCTGTTAGCATAGCCCTTGAGTAAGACCGATTCCTGCAAGTGGTATCCTGTTTTACAACCACCTGTCTCTGCTTTCAGTAGATGCATGCTGACAATATTACAGACATGATTATTAACTACATTTTATTTTCCAGAGACACCATCACCATTCACCCAATTCTTCAGGCTAGAAATCTAGGAACCTCCCTTGATTCCTCTCTTCACCCTACTGTCCAGATCCAAGCAATTAGAAATTTCTCCTGGCTCCATCCACAATTCTGATTGCTTCTCTTCATTTTGAAGATCATCATATCAGCGCAAGCTACTATCAAGAACCATGACTCAGCAGCCCCTAACTGGTCTCTCTATTTCAAATTTCCCCTGCTTTCTATTCTCTAAATTGACATGATTTTGGAAAATATAAATCAAACAGAAGAGAGATTTTGTAAAGCCAACATGCTGGCTTCCACAAAATTAGTAGTTATTCCTCATCTTCCCCACACTACAAGAGATTAGCAAAATGATCTCTAAGGCAGAGTTTCCCACATTCGATAACCAGAATCTTGGGATGAGAGAAGTAAATTTCCAGAAGCTGAGAGCTCTGGCTATAGGTTGGCTAAGATTAAGAGAAAATGTGGGTGGAAGTCCAGATTATTATTCAGTTAGCATCACAATGGAAGACTCCATCCTAAGGATAACCTGAGGGCATTAGCTGATTATTGAAAAAGGTAGTAGGAAAATCATGGGAGGTGAAGCAAAAAGCCACCAAAGGCCAGCTCCAACAGAGGAACAATTTTCCAATGCTGACAGCATATGGATATTTATGTGATACATTGTAGATATGACCATGAATTCTTCCCATTTTTATACATATGCTGTTGTAATGTACCCTGCGAATCACAGAAGAATGCCTCAAGAAGTCGAATTAAAGAGTCACATTTATTGCAATCTGGGACTATGA